CACTAAAGTCTCCAGCTTATTTTCTACCATAAAGGTTTCTTATTCATTCCTTGCTCTCTTTTACTCCAATCACACATTTCTGATGCTAATATATGTCAGCTGGCTCTGAAGACAAGTGGTAAGGGGAACATTGAGTTTGTTATGCATACTTTTATTGAAGATCCTGACTTATCTAATAGTTTTCTTCCTATTACAGTTGAATTAGCTGATTTCTTTTTTCAGATACTAAAGACATTAGCAGAAGTAGAGTGCAACCTCCTCGTTTGCTGCCACTAATGTACACTGAAGCATATGCTTTTAAAAAGTTTGCAGCAACTGGCTAAAACATGTATCTATCCTACGTTTTATAATATACAAACATTTAATGATATATACACTTTATACTGTAAGTATTGTATATTAGTAACTATTTGTAAGACATTATAAATGAAATGTGTTCTCTAAGGACAACATAAAATAAAACTGGAGGTAATCTCCAATGAAAAGGAAATAAAACCTTGTAAGTAGCATTAGTCACACTTAAAGAGGAAAAGTTTTTGATCATTATGAGCTTTGTTCATACCTCCAAAGCATTGTGGAGGCAATCATATCTTGATCACATGGAGTGAAACAGAAACAGTTGTCAGAGTTGGATATACTTTCCCAGAGGAGAAAAATCTAGTTGGCTACTACATGTTGAGCTTGTTTGGGGTTCCTGGAGTTGACAGCACATCAGCATTTCTTTTCAGACTTGTGCTTGGCATATTATTACAAGTGTATATCATCAGAGAGAAAAAAAATGGTTTTCCTTAGAGTATCTCTAAGTTGATGTCATATTCAATAACCTTGTAGTTGAAAATCTATATGTGATGGATGAAGTTTGTACTATCTTTTGAATTTAATTTCTCCTGTGCCAGCTTTTACAGGCCCTGGTGAACCTGTCATTTTTAAGGTGAGAGCTGATGCAGTATTTAGAAGATGCTGCTTCTGCCAGATAATGAATTGTTGGAGAACACTGCCTCCTGTGTACAGTGGCCTCATTCTCTGCTGTTAATCAGGCTGTAGAGAAATCAGTCTGAACTTGGAACCCCACACTGAGTTCTGTGCCAAGGTACAGCTGGATCAAGGTTAAAGACAGCAGAGTCCTTTCCTCTGGGTTTGAAGACTTCAGGGACAGACAGGCTTTGAAGGTGGGGTCCCAGGCACATTACCAACACATCACTCCCAAGAACAATTCCGTGGAAGAGTGAGCACTATGTCTGGATCAACTGGATGAAGATCTTAAAAAGTGAACATTTAGAAGGACTGGGGAGATGGCTCAGTGGTTAAGAGCACTGGTTGTTCTTGCAGAGGACCCAGGTTTCATTCCCAGTACCTACGTGGCAGCTAAAAATCATCTGTTAACTCTGGTTCCAGGGATTCAAATGCCTTCTTCAAGCCTCCACGGACATTGCACTATATGGGTGCACTTATATACATGTAGGCAAAACACTTGTAACATTAAAATAAACAAATCAAAAATTAAGAAAAATAATGCCAATAATTCCTGCAAACTGAACATTTAAAGTTTTTTCTCTGTCTAGATAAAGAATAAGCCAATCTAGATGTATCTTTTGGAGCAACCAAACGTCTTAGGTGAATGGTAACTTACTTTTCCTTTCCTTATTTTTTATAGGGGCTAGCCTCTCTTGCTCATCTTGGATAAATGGATCCACATATGGACATGGGAGTCTGGATTAGACTTTCCTGATTGCTAGCATCAGTTCTCGGGATATACCTATAATCAGCAATAGAGTCTGGACTTGGGCCGATTTCAGGATGGAGCCTCTGTTGAAAGGCTTAGAGGTTAATCTCCTAGTTTAAAATTGCTCAATAGCGTCAGTGCCTGGCTTGGTTTGTGAACTTTTGGACAGGAAACAACCTGGCCTCTTGCCATGTCAGAATTTTAAAATTCAGGCTTATGATATATGAGGTGCAAATTGGTCTGTTTTCCTGAACTCAGTTTTATGTCTGATAATCAACTAATATATATGGTTACAGAAGACAAAACTCCATTAGTTTGTGTGCCACCAATTTGAAATGTACATTATAAAATCTTGATGAAATTAATCTCTCTTCTGATTAGCATGCTTGGCTTTTTAAATTGGCAACAAGGTGGAGGTGAATCACTAAGATGTTTTTCAAGTTAATTACCTAGGGATGATTTAAGTGACTAGATGAAGAGAACAGAATTCCCTTACCTATTAGCAGCGCTTCTTTCTCTGATTTTAAGCCTTGACTTCTTTTCTCGATGTTGTTCTCCCGGTCTTGGTTAACCAATGCAACTGTCAACACATTGATTTCCTATGAAGTTAAAACACAAAAGCCATATATGTGTTTATATAGACTCCATGCGTTTCAATAAAAACCACCCAATTTCTTAAACTCCATAAAAAGGTCATTACTTCCTCTTAGAACCGCAGATAAAATCCTATAAATGATTATTTGCTCAACAATAGAAATGTAATTCTAAATCCTAGGCTCCTAACTTGCTCCCAGCAAACAAAGAAACTCTTTGTAAGAGTAGTAAATTTGGCACAAACTATCTTAGATCTCTGTCAATTTTTTTCAATTAAACTCTGTTCACTAAGGCTGTGTTTATAGTTCGCTGTAGCGACTTTAACATGTTTTATTCCAAAAATGAAAACTTTCCTGACATAGCTTATACCAGGCTGACTGATATCTAATATTATGTGAATAACTTGACTGAATATAGGGGAAAACAGGACTCTTAGGGAAGCCAAGCTGAAACTGTTGGTTGGAGTAATTCAGTTGTGTGGGGATGGGTTCTCAGCCTAATAGGAAAAGGCAGACAGTGCAGAGGCTGGGAGAGTTTTTTTGAGAACTAAAAAGTGAAGAATTGTTGAACAAGCCAATCACACATGAAATGCTGAGGATGGGCAGTTTTTCTTTCTTTTTATGGGCAGTTTTTCTTTCTTTTTATGGTCTTTTAAAATTTAAAGATAAAAATAAAGATTTAATGCATATCCCCCCAGTATTGATATGACTTTAAATGGAAAGTGTTATAATAGAAATTTAATAATCTGTACATGTGGGAATAATACAATCATTAGGGAAGTCCAGTCTTATTGGAAGGAGAGTGCTAACTAATGACAGCTCTCAAAGTGAGATCCAACACATTGAATAAATGTACTTGGTGCACAGGCTAGCCACAGAGCGGTACCAGGGCACCAGAGAGAAAACACTATTTTGATGAGAGTGATTGAAGGAGAACTCTAGAAATCAGCAATAACGATTACTGGACCCTAAACAACATGTAGTCAGAAAGGCAACCTGGGCAAAGAATACAGCAAACTGTAGCTTTAGCTCATCCCTGCCTGGAAGGCAGGGGTAGTCCACACTGCCAGTAAAAGTTGTAAGCAGGAAAGGACCAGTAACGCTTATAAAAGCAGACTGGTAGTCCTCACTTCGGGAGATTTCCTCATTCTAAGGAGGTTTTAAGTCCAGTTTGCCAGGCTGGCTGGCTGTTCCAAAGAAGGAATTCACATTGGGCCTTCTCAACCCCTTGGTCACAAGCAGCTACAACAGTTACTGCTAAGTCCCTTCTTACCTTAGAAGCCTTGAACCTGTGTTTCCTTACAGGGTGTAAGATAGCCTTTTCACTCTAGGACCACAGATACCAAAGCCATCGCTCTAGCCCTATCTGTAGGACTTAGACAAGGTCTCTCCTACATCATGCGCCTACAGGAGCTTGTATCACAGCCCCACGAACCCAAGTGCTACCTGAATACAATACAGGAGAGTGTTTTCACAGTCCCTGATCTTGGACCACATACATTGTTGTCAAAAGTTCAGTTTCATTTGCACTTATCTCTTTGGAGCTAGAGAAGGTACCATCCAGGTTCTACAGCTCTATGGGAACAGCTATCCTACAATAAGCCAAGAGAAACCCACGATTACACTGTGAAGCTGTGCTTACCAGTGTCATTCACCCAGGATCCCCTGTGCTCATCCTATGGGAAATGGGGACGGTCCCTTTCCAACTAGTGGTTCCAGAACTGTGGAGGTTGGTTCCGTAGCTCAGGTATAGCCTGCCTTCGTCCCAAGAACTTAGGGAAGGTCTCGTTCACAGATTGTGGCTCGGGGACTATTTTTTCTTATATCCTTGGTGTCATCTATATTTGTTCCATAGAATCTAGGGAGTGACTCCATATCTTGCACCACCAAGATTGTAGCAGCTGTCATTACAGGCCCCAGTGCCATCAGAACTCTACCCTGTAAAGCCTGACAAACACCTTTGGAAACCTATATTCACTGCAAAGTCATGACTATTTCATGAATCACCCCAATCCAGATCACAGAAACACTGGTAGATGTTGTTGATATCATCATAGCCAAACATATCACGCAGAGGCTACACTTCTGAAACATCCATAACAAAGCCAAAAGATCTACTGAACTGGAGCCATACATCTAATATAGATTAAAACAGAAAACAGTAGGGGGCTGGAGAGTTGGCTCAGCGGTTAAGAGCACTGGCTGCTCTTGCTGAGGACCCAAGTTGGGTTCCCAGCACCCACATGGCAGCTAACAACCATCCATAAACTCCAGTTCCAGGGCAATCCAATGCCCTCTTCTGATGTCTGCAATCATTACACGACATGGGTACACTTACACACATACAGGCAATACACTCATATACATAAAAAATAAAAATAATAAAAACCTATATCTCACATGTATAGAGCTCCACATAGTTTATAAACTTATTGAGTAGCCAGGACACTGGGGCTCGGAGATTAAACAGCTAGTTCAAAATCATGTTCACAGAAACTGGTGGAGCCAGAACTAGAACCTGGGTCCATTATGATACCTAAGCAGGTGTCACTGGCTCTATCAGTGCCATGGTGAGCCTGCCTTACATGCTGTCGCTTGGACTGCCAAGTGACCATGGTTCTCCTTCTTCCTCTGTTCTTTGCACCTTAATACAGAAGAAGTCACACGATTTGCATAAATCTATTTTGAGGAGTCTTCTGGTGGAGGAAAAGAGAAGTTGATGATTTCTGCTTCTGTATCTCTTAAGGAAGATCTAAAATCAAACTAAAAAACAAGAAGAAAGGCCCTCCTAGGTCTGCAGGAAGCAGGAGACAGATTTGCACCAAGGAAAGAAACAGCTTTCCCCCATCTCCACTAGTGTTTCCTACTCCTAAGAATCAAGGCGCTCCATTTGCCTCCAGCTAATGAGTGCTCATGGAGATGTGAGATGGGTATGCAGGTCTTAATGAGTGGAGAAAGAACCCCCACATGCTACAAATGCATTGCATGACATGGGTGCACTTACATACATACAGGCAATACACTCATACACATAAAATAAAAATAAAATGATTTTTAAAAAGAAAAAACAAAAAATTCTTTCCTGAAAAGACTACTCCCTAAAATTGGAAGAGGCAACTCTTTGGCTAGATGTATAGACAGCAATAAGAAACATAAAAGAAGCCTGGCACCTCCAAAGGAGCTTTGCAAGGTAGAAGAAAAAAGAAGTCATCATGTATTGCTAAAACAACCAGTTCAGCAGAAGACCTAACAGTGTGTGTGTGTGTGTGTGTGTGTGTGTGTGTGTGTATCGCCACCACAAATATATAAGTCAAATGATGTTAAATCTAATGGGATAAGTAGGCTATAGTACAGTAATATATGGGAGCATCAATACCCCAATTTTCTCAAATGAAAGATCACCCAGAAAGAAAATGAACAAAAATACCTGAGTTGAACCATATACTAGAGTAAATGGGTCTCAAGACATTTAAGAACATTCCATTCAACAGCAGTAGAACACATATTCTTCTTATCACCACATGGAACATTCTCCAGGATATAACATGTGTTAGAGTCACAAATCAAATCTCCATAAGTTTAAAAAATGAAGTCATGTCAGCTTTAAAAAGAGGAAGGAGCTTTGGCTCATAGTTACAGACATTTCAGCAAACGGTCCCTTGACCCTGCTGCTTTTGGGTCTGTGGTGAAACAGAGCATAGTGGCAGGGAACAGGTGATGGTACAGAGCTGCTCACCTCACAGCTGGGAAGCAGAGACAGAGCAGAGATCAGGGTCCCAGCAGCCCCTTCAAGGATGTGTTCCTACAATCCTAACTTCCTTCAGCTAAGCCTCAGGGCTTAAAGGTTCCAGCACCTCCCAACAGCATCACAGCCTTTAGCACATGGGTCTGTCTTTGGAGGACAGTTTCTGATCCAAACTTTAACAATCATACAGAATGGGGAAAAGCTGAAAGCATTTCCTCTAAAATCAGGGACAAGATAAGAATGTCCACCCTCACTGATTCTATTTAACCCATCACTTGAGGTTTCAGTATGAGAAATTAGACAAGAGAAAGAAATAAAGGGCATTAAAATGAAAAGACATGAAAATTTTTCTTGTTTATAGATGACATGATTTGCTATATACAAGACATAAATGCACTGCCAAATCCTTTTAGAATTAATAATTGAATTTCATAAAGTTGTGGTATACAAAGGCAGAACACAAAACACTAGCACTGTTATATACTAATAATGAACTTCCTGAAGAGGAAATCAGGAAAATAATCCTATTCACAAAAGCTGTAGAAAAGGAGACATCTGCACTCAGGAGGTAGAGGTAGGGGCATGGTGAGTTTGATGCTAGCCTGGGTTACATAGTAAGAATTTCAAAAAAATTATAAAGAAATAAATAGAAACAAGGAAATGAAAGATCTCTACAATGAAAATCATAACATCGATGAAATAAACTATACAGAAACCACAAAATGGCAATAAATCTGTGCTTGTGGATTGAATTACTGTTAAAATGATCATACTTACCCCAATCTATATATTCAATACTGGTATTCAAAATACCAGTAATTTTCTTCACAGAAATAGCAAAAAAAAAAAAAAGTGCTAAAATTCATATGGAGGAAACAGGCAAGTCACACAGTAGGAAGAAAAAAGGAATAGTGTGCCTTAGTTGGGTTTTAATTTGCTCTGATAAAACACTCTGACCAAAAACAATTGGGGGAGAAAAGGGTTTACTGCATCTTACGCTTCCAAGAGACAGTCCATCTTTGAGGAAGTCAGGCAAGAACTGAGGGCAGGAACCTGGAGGCAGAAATCAAAGCACAGACTATAGAGGAATGCTGCTTACTGGTTTGCTCCTTTGGTCTGTGCTCAGCCTGCTTTACTACATAATACAGGACCACCTGCCCTCAGGGTGGTACCACCCACATTGGGCTGGGCCCTCCAACATCACACTACAATCAAGAAATGTCTCAGTGACATGTCCATGGGCTAATCTGATAGAGGAAAT